TGGTAATGAGAGGACCTGGAACAAAATGCCCCAGAGGCTTTGGCTTTGTGACTTACTCGTGTGTCGAGGAGGTGGATGCAGCAATGTGTGCTCGACCACACAAAGCTGATGGGCGTGTAGTGGAACCAAAGAGAGCTGTTCTAGAGAGGATCGAGTAAAGCCTGGTGCCCATCTAACAGTGAAGGAAATTTTTGGTGGTGCTATTAAAGAAGATACAGAAGAATATAATTGGAGAGACTGCTTTGGAAAATATGACAAAATTGAAACCATAGAAGTTAGGGAAGACAGGCAGAGTGGGAAAAAGACAGGATTTGCTTTTGTAACTTTTGATGATCACGACACAGTTGATAAAATTGTGGTTCAGAAAAACCACACTATTAATGGGCATAATTGTGAAGTGAAAAAGGCCCTTTCTAAACAAGAGATGCAGTCTGCTGGATCACAACGAGGCCGGGGAGGTGGATCTGGCAACTTTATGGGTCGTGGAGGAAACTTTGGAGGTGGTGGAGGGAATTTTGGCCGTGGTGGAAACTTTGGTGGAAGAGGAGGTTACGGTGGTGGAGGAGGTGGCAGCAGAGGTAGTTATGGAGGAGGTGATGGTGGATATAATGGATTTGGAGGTGAAGGTGGAAACTATGGTGGTGGTCCTGGTTACAGTAGTAGAGGAGGGAATGGTGATGGTGGACCAGAATATAGAGACCAGGGTGGTGGATACAGTGGTGGTGGAAGAGGAGAATATGATGGTTACAACGAAGGAGAAAATTTTGGTGGTGGTAACTATGGTGGTGGTGGGAATTATAATGATTCTGGAAATTATAGTGGGCAACAGCAGTCAAATTATGGACCCAGGAAGGGGAGCAGTTTTGGTGAAAGAAGCTCCAATCTCTATGGTAGTGGTTATGGATCTGGTGGTGGAAGTGGTGGATATAGTAGCACAAGGTTTTTAAAAACAGCAGAAAAGGGCTACAGTTCTTAGCAGGAGAGAGAGCGAGGAGTTGTCAGGAAAGCTGCAGGTTACTTTGAGACAGTCATCCCAAATGCATTAGAGGAACCATAAAAATCTGCCACAGAAGGAACGGTGATCCATAGTCAGAAAAGTTACTGCAGCTTCAACTGGAAACCCTTCTGGTTCAGGACTGTGATAGCCACAGTCTGCAAGAAGTGCAGCTATTAATTAATGAAATGTAGAGTCAGTTAGATGTACATTCCCAAGGTCTTTTTTCTTTTTGTCTGTGTGTGTGTGCGTGCGTGCGTGCATGTGTGTGTGTGTGTGTGTGTGTGTGTGTGTGTGTGTGTGGTACTGGAGATTGAACTCAGGACCTATGCTTGCCAGCAGGTGCCTGAGGTCTTTTATCTGTTGTGGGATTTTATCTTTTTCTTTCCTTTCATTACATCAGGCATACTGCCCTGTAAATTGTGGTAGTGGTAGAAGGAATAAAAAATTAAGGAATTTTTAATTTTTTAAAAAAAATTGATAAATGACCTAAATAGCCATTTCACAAAAGACTATATATATATATATATATATATATATATCCAACACATATGTGACAAAACACTCAATCTCACTAATTAGCAACAAAATGCAAGTCAAAACCATAATGAGGGGGTTGGGGAGATAGCACAGTGATCCAAGTGCCTGCCTGGCAAGCGCAAGGTCCCAAGTTCGATGCTCGGTACCACATGCATGCCACCCCCAATGGTGCTTGTAATCTCATTGGGTGACCATAGTTTTGTCCCACCTCATGCCCACCTAAGGGTGTTCCCATGTTCTCCACCACCTTAGACCCATGTCACCATATGGTTTTACTCTATAAAAGTCCCTGGAAAAGACAGCTTCCCAGGGACAACCCGCTCGGGACCCCATTCTATCCCTCCCTCCGACAGGAGCTTTCTTTCCCCCAATAAATATATTCTACCCAAAACTTCCATTTGTTCATAAAATTCATTCTTCAGTTTTACAGAACATGAACTCGTGCAGGTCAGGTCGGGAGATCATTTTTCCCCTATATTATTTGGAGGTTCCCTGTATCATTTGGAGGTCACCCATTCGAGATCAGTTTTTCTCCCTATATCAGTTGAACCGGAGGAATAATTTCTAATGTCCTACAGCACCAACAGCTATGGTTGGCAAATATTTTTATTTCTTTGTTTGTTTATATATTTATTTAAATGTATTTAGTACAGGGTCTACAGGGTCGCCCTACACAGATCCAACTTGTAGTGATCCAAGAATGACATTAGTCTTCTACCAACTGAGGTGAAAAATCCCTCCCAGCTATTGCAGGCTTGCTGACATCTAAGGGACTGATGGAAAAATATAGAGGATGCTGATAAGAGAGCAGAGTTCCTAGGCCAAGGGGCCCATGCCAACAGAAGGAAGGAAGGAGTGAATGAATGCCTGAAGGGGTGATAAAGCAGGAGCAAGCCTCTTTCGGATAGATAGGACAAAGGAAACGTTTCATTCCTTGCAAACTTTTTATTTATCATTTATGATGTACCACCCACAACAGTTAGCTCTGAGGAGCTGAAGTATGGAATCCAGGGCCTGCAAGGCCAACCGAGTATGCATAGCAGCCTTGCTCAGATGGAGAACAGCAGGGGCTCCCAACAACAGTGGCTATGCAGACCTTGCACAGCGCAAAAGACAAAAGTAATCATCTACATTCCCCTCCCAGCTTCACCAGGTTTTTAGTGAGTGGACCGTAACAAATTCATTACATATCTGTCAATTCGCTATGCCTCACTAATAAGGCTCAAGTTATCTACCCAGTGAATATGTAAATCTCATTCCATAGTGTTGATCTGGTCGTTCCAAAGAATCCTTTTGTTATCTTCCTAAAAGATTGTGTCAAAAGAATCAGGGATTTTCAGAGGAATATTCCAGCTGCCTTATTAGCACATGCAACCAGTTTACTTCTCTGTTCTAATTTATACACAGGCCCCAGCACTGTGACAGGAGAGTACAAAACCATTACTACAGTCTACAGTTGGGGTGCTAGTTAGGTACGGTCATTAATAACAAGGACATGGCCTCCCACCAATCGGAGTGGACACTGGCTGTAAACCTCCGGCACTCTTACCCCCATGCACATCAGCAGAACATCAGCTCTGCTCACCGGTCATAGCCCATGCCTTCTGCCCCAGCCATTCACCACCTTGCAACCCTTTCTGTTGGGTTTCTACCTTAAGACTTTCATGCTTAGGGCCGGCGGTATAGCTCAGCGGACTAAGCGCTTGCTTAGATAAGCGCAGGAGCCAGGGTTCAATACCTGGCTCCACCTGCCACGCCGGCCCCGCCTTCGGGTGCGCTGAGCTGGTGATGGAGTCCGGGCGCGGTGGCGCGCGCCTGTAATCCCAGCACTTGGGCGGCAGAAATCAGGAGGATCACTACTAATGTGGGCTATGTAGTGAGACCAGAGCAAAAAAAAAAAAAGAAAAAGAAAAAGAAAATCAAAGACTTTCATGCTTACTATTTCCTCTGTCCAGAAGGCTCTAAGCCTCCACCCGTTCCTACAGGAGGCTTTTCCATTCATGCTATCCAAGCTCTGCTGAGGTATCACTATCTCGCGATGTCCTTTCTCTAATACCACCCCCTCACCAATTAACTCAGATCTGCCTATACTACTCTGATTTACCAGTGTATATATTTCCTTCATGGTATGCAGCCATTTCAGTTCAGTAACGATTTGTGAGGTGACTGTTTCCTTCATTACACTTCGGAGCAGGGGTTGCATTGTATTTACTTTTACTGGGAACCTACTATTAGTGTGATGCTTGACACATGAAAAGATTTCCCAAGTGGGAGCTATATTTATCCAGCATTTACTGTCTATCAAGCGCTGGTGTCACTACTTTAACAGAATAGCTCTTTGAATCCCTGTGACCACCACATGAGATGATTTTAGCAGAGCTCTATCATTCTAGGTGAGAATATTGAGGCACGGTCAAGCTAAGTAATCACCCAAAATCTCAAAGCCAATTTGGGCTCACATGGATCCCAAGCAATAAAGCTCCAGAGCCCGTCCTTTTAAGAACCACAGCAGATTAAAGTGCCTGCAAGCAGGCACAGGGACCAGGGGTTTGATCCCCCAGCCTGCTGTGCTGGCCCCGCCCCTAGGACAAGCTGAGAGGGCGATTGAGACTGGGGGTGGTGGCATGCAACTGTAATCCCAGCTCATGAAGGCTGTAAAGAGGTGGATCATGAGAGTCTGATCTAGTAGAGACCCTGAATACCCTGTAGACCCTTCCCTAAAATACAAAAAATATACAAAACAAAAAAAAGGAGCCACAGTATGCTACCTTTATAAATACTTGTTGAAGGATTTCATGAATTGTGATCAAGTTTATAATTAGGCAGAGCCAGGTAAGTTTCACAGGTTCACTTTTAAAAGAAGACAGCCATAGGGCCAGGGAGGTAGCTCAGTGGTGTCTAGCCAGCAAATGCAAAGGCCTCAGATCAATCCACAGCTCCAGCAGAAGAAGAATAAAGAAGAGGAGAAGGAGGAGAAGGATCAGGAGGAGAAAGAAGAGGAGGAGAAGAAGGATCAGGAGGAAGAAGAGGAAGGGGGAAGAGAAGGGGAGGAGAAGGAAGGGGAGGAGGAGGAGAGAGCCATAATATCTACTCTTTGTTCATGGTCTACCAGGTAAGCGAGTGATATAAGTATCCACATAGATAAAGAGACAGACAATAACTGAAAAAATTGCCTGCAAAAATAACATGGTGGGCCAATAGTTTTCAAACTTCTTGAACATTCTTTACCCTTTAAATCTCCAGGAAAACCCCAGGGAAGCATTTTATTACCAAACCAAACATCTCCCCACTGTACCCCCGATGCCCCCTCCCATTCTCAGAACACTCACTGCACATCTGAACACTCTTCTGGACCAGAATCCAAGAAAAATAGCAAAGGCACTCACCACACACACACACACACACACACCCCAGACTGGTCCTCCCCCACAACCTCTGTCCCATGCAAAGGAAGACATGCTTTTACCTTGAAATAAAAATGCTTTGCTGCCATTGTGCAGCCCCGACACCTGCGTGACCCCGAGGGTGCTGTTCACAAGGTCAAGTTCGGTGAGAACATCCATCTGAAGGTCAGGGTCCAGCCCAAAGCCAACCGCTGGAAAGGAACAAACAGCTATTTTGGCATAACAGGCAGAATGCTGGCAGCAGTACAGAACAGAGACCACGATGGAGAGTAGTTGAGACTCCTTGGAGGATAAAGCAATGCTGCGCCCCTCTGATAGCACAGTTTCTTGGTACCTTTCCCCCATCCCATGCCCCATTACAAAGATAATCCCCCCAAATCTCCAGAGCCAAATACTTTTCAGAATTTAGAAAGCATCCTCTGCTGTATCTGAGACAACACCCTCAGCAAAGTCTGAATGAGCTCCCCATCATCAATGACTGCAACCTTTCTGGATTGGAGCATTTGATGTTTTTCTCCAGTTGGCTTAAAGAACACAGCCCAGTTTCAGGGGAGGCCACGTTTTGACACCAAGTGAGTTCAAAGCAGGACAGGCTTTACTCCCTGGGGAGTTCTGGAGAAATCTTATGATTGCAAAATTTTTTTTTAATTTGGAAACTACAGAGAGGAGATAATGGCTCTGCTCCTCCAGCCTCAGAGACATCTGCAAAATCTAACGTCAGCACCAACAGTAAACACCCACGCAGAGCACATCTACTGATCAAGTACAACTGACCTCCATAAAGAAGAAGGAAGTGGAAAGGGACCCTGGCCCTACTGGGAAAAAAATAGTGAAGGGACTAGCCAGAAAGGAGAAGCCTGATGCGTATTTCCATCCGAGGGGATTCCTGATGGAAAGTTAGTTCCCAATGTCTCTTGCTGGAGGACCTCAGTACAAAGACACATGGCCCTGCACTCCCTACTTCTTGCCTCCGAAAGGGAACTACCAAGGGTGTCCCTCACCCAGTCTGTGTTCGGCAGAATGATTCATTCATGACGGCAAAGTGATTTCCAGTTATATACGCTAATAAGGCTACAGATCACTCTAAGGAACTATGTTTAAGCCATTCATAAAGCCTGCATCTATCTACACTTAGCATCTCAATAGTGCGACTCTGATTGCGCAGTTGGAAATGTTTTAATCAGCAACAGCTGTCAACTTTCGTGTGCTGGTAATGCAAGCAAGGAGACTGGATTGGGAGAGCTTGCCCCCAGTTTGTCCCACAGAGCCTGGTTGAATATCCATCAGGACATCGCGAACTGCCACAGCCTCACCTGTCCTCCCACTTCACCCTGGCCCTATGCATGAAGGGAAGGAAGTCTACCCTTCCCTCTCTCTTTGCCTGCTAGGACACAGTGACTTCTGGCAGCACAAGGCTGGTCAGGAAAGGCTCTTTGGAGCTGAAACCTATCATTGTCAGGATAGAAAAGAGGTTGATTTGAAGGTGCAGTGCACACAGCTGACTTTTCTGGTTTTGCTAGGCTTTCCCTTGACTTCTCGACTGAAGGTTAGAATTGTTTCCTTTGAAATACAGCTAGTTACAGGGTCAGTTTACCTCAAGACAACTGTTACTTTCCCAGACATTGTATTCATCTATTTAATAAGTTTTCAATCGGTATTACCAAGGGCATACTACGAATCTACAAATGGCTGGGCACTGGGGATATATTCATCCAGCCTGCAACAGGGAGCTTGACCTCTGTCCTAGCTCTTTTGGGATATCATTAGAGGTATAGAAGTTTGTTTGTTTGTTTTTGTTTTTAATGTATTTTGGCACATGGTCTCACTACGCAGCTCGAGCTTGTAGTGATCTTCCTGTTTTCAGCCTCCCCAGCACTGGGATTACGGGCATGCACTACCATGCCTGGTCTCGGCGGCCAGCTCAGCATGCCTGGAGGCATGGCCAGCCCAGCCTAAGTATAAGGTTGATTTTTAAACGAAAAGGGGGATCCATAATGCTAGATGACCTCACTTTAAGCACCCACCTGCTCGCTCTGGTTCATCCTACACACAGACCCAGGTACTCTGTGGAGAGAAGAAGTGATTGGCAGGTTTCCTACCATCCCAAGTCCAGCACCAAGCCCCTGCCGTTGAGACTCGGGATGTTTTTCTCTAAGTGAGCCCAGGTGCTAGCAGTTCTGTGCTCACCTTGAAAAAGCAGGGAGGGAACTATTTCAATTTGATCTATAGTGTTCTACACCTATATGGCAGAAATTAAATCAAGGGTGATCTCAAAGGACTTCCAAGCGTGGCTTTCTCTGGCCAGGAATTTTTAAAGTGGCCTAGACATTATGCCCTTCACTGGACACAAAAGGAAGGAAGTGTCCCTCTGGCCCCAATGCCTTGCACAGGCCCTGACACGTCACAGGCTTTTAATTTAGAACCTGAATAATTACCTGATGAGCGTGTTCCTGATCACTGCTTTGGGAACAAAGACGTCAGAGTAATATGCTACGTGGGGACACCACAAGAAGGTGGGATAGCATCCAGGCCAAGGAACCCTTGGAGGGAGACTATAGTTGGCTGAATTATTGGCCCCAAATCTTCTCTCCCCTATGCCCACACTCTGTGATATGTGGCTGGGAATTTACTCCCAGTAGAATGAGAGAAAACCACCTCATCCTTTGACTTTGAGCTCAACCACGTAACCAATGTTGGCTGTTGGGATTTTAGCAACCACGGCACAAGCAGAGGCTTAAATGAGCTTGCACAGTGGGACTACGTGGTCTTGTACTTGAGAAGAACATAGCCCTGCAGGCCCACTATTCCAAGAAGACTGGGGCATGTGGCACAGGCACACGCTCAAACCTGGAACTAAGCTCCACCAAGCCCGGCTTAGGGAAGGCAGCACTGAACCAATCTACAGATATGTGAATCAAAATAAATGATTGCTGTTTTGAGCTGCTGCTGTGTGATGTTATTGTAGTGGTGACTGATGCAAGGACTCGCTACAGTGGTTACCCTAAAGATACCAAATCTCCCAGACCAGGAGGCCTGAAGCTACACCAGCCTAGGAGGCACTCAAACAGACTGCAGAACTGAGCATGTCCCAACAGGATCCTTAGTCCCTATCCTCAGATGAGAATACAGTGCCCTCGATCCGGAAGGTGATGCAAAAAAATGCTAAATGAAAAGCCACCTGCAGTCCTGTCTCTTCTTTCTACAAATGACATCATTTCTTGGAAAAATTACGTCTCCAAGCCTCAGTTTCCTCATTTGTGAAAGGGAGGAGAGCATGCCCCTCCCAGACTCCCGAGGCCTCAGCAGCAACCCCAGCAACACTCCCAGCAGCTCAGGCTGGTGCAGAGCTGATGTCCAAGTGGGTTCTGCCTTGCCCGCCTTCTATAATAGTCCACCTTCCCCTTCCGCTCCTTCCCTAAGCTTCAGATCATCCGAATAATGCAAAAGACTCAGGTGGCCTTCCTCCCTACCCATACCTGTTTCACTCTTTTGATGAAAAATATCTCATAAAAATAGAATGAGAGAAAAAGTAATCAATTAGGCGTCTGGTACAATTTCCTTCTCTCCCTTTAATTGGTCGCTCTCAGGTTGAAAATGCCCAGTGCCAATAGCAGGATGTGGAAAGGGTGGCACTTTGCACACCACCTGGGGAACCAGAAAGCCCATTAATAAGGCAGCATCTACTCGGCCTCTGCTGAACCTTGTGCAGTGCGAGAGCTTGGGTTCCATTAATATTTTTATTTTAACATCTCTGCTTCTTCTCCAGGCATGGAGTTCCTGCCCTTTCCTAGGAAACTCTATTATAAAGTTTTCTCCTTTTTTAACATAACAGCTCTACAAATGGCTGAAGCTGGGAATTAGAATTAAGCAGGATAAAAAGCTCCTGGGGAGGAGACACTTTTAAAACCTGGAAGGTAGCATGTCAGTGTCACAGAGGCACTTGAGGCCTGGCCCTGGGATTTGGAGCCTTGACCTTAAACACAACACCTTCTGCTGCTGGCCACTGCTTAGCCCAGCCCTGGGAGTGTTAGAGCCCAAAGCCCACTCATCCACCTTTCCTGTCCAGGATTCAGGCCCCTACGCAAATCCTCTTGCATCTGGCTCAATTCAAATCTAATCCGGCTTATTGCCCGTGATGACAGCTGTTTTCATGGTCCATGAGGAGTAAAATGATGCTGGAAAGATGCTGGAAGACCTCATTTAACAGCAGGATTTCGCAACCACTTGATCAGTTCTGTACACCCCAGAAGCAATTTCCTTGAAGAAGCTGTTCCATGTTTGTTTCAAGTTAACCAATATTTTGCATCTCTGGAGGCCAGAGGCCCATTTTTGCAGCTCAATTATTCAATTCATAATTAATAAACCACCTGGGTATTGCTTCCTAAAGAAAAATCGTTCCCGTCCAGCAGGTGGCAGCAAAAGGCATTCCCCAGGCACCTAGGGATGCAGATGTTACAGGCACCGTGCTCCCCGCACTCCCTATCCTGGCGACCAAAGCAAAGTGAAAAGCAGGGAAGATTAATCCTTGGGTTCACGTAGCTCGCACTTCCAAGCCATGGGAGAAAACTCATGTCCACCGCTACTACCGTAGCCTTCCAAGTTTGCATTGTTAGTGTGGTGCCTGGAAACCCCAGATCATTTTTTTTACACAGGGACAAAAACTAGAAAACAGTCTCTCCTATCTTCACTCCACTCTGCACTCTGGAACAAGCTTTCTGAAGAACAATGCATGCAGCCTCCTTCTGACACCTATCATTAGATCTCTTCATATGCAACCGCTTCTGCACTGCAGTCTTCCTTTAATTAAAATGTGCCTGATATCATCTATTCATTTCCATTAAAAGGCGGTGATATCCGAGCAGCTCGCTAAGTGAACCACATGTTTATTTCATCTAGCACTGTTAACAGCCTGCACAACAATTGTTTTACTTGAAAAATAAACTTTCCAAGCAGCTGTTGGGATCCTGATAAACTAATCACCAGCCAGCCTCTGCTACCTACAGAAGTGGATGAATGTGTGTGATGTGGGAACAAGGATTTCTAGCAAAATCAAAGAAGCTGTCCTCAGAAAGCTACTTGCATAGGCAAGAAATGGCAAATGCATGAATGCAGAGTTATTCCCTTCTGTCTCTTCGACTCTTCTGATGACTTTTAGAGAATTAACACGTGACCCCCAGTGTTCACGTAGCACAGAGCCAAGGGGCACTGAAGAGTCAGGTTCCCCGGGCCACAGCTACCACCAGCGGGTCAGGCCATCCCATGTTTCTCTGCTTTGCATGTTTCTCCGCCCTTTTCCATGTTTCTCCACCCTTTCTCTCCTTTTCTATGCAAAGTGTTTCCCACTTTGTCCTCTCAAAGCCACAACTCTCCAATGTCACTTTCCCTGACCACCTCCACCTCTCCCTGGAATTAACTGACACTGTCCCGTTCCGTATGACCTTCACAAAAACTTCTTAAAGTCCCACCCCACGCCCTCAAGCTGCACAAAGAAAGTGCTTTTCTGACTGCTACCTAGATTCTCAGCTAAACTGTAAGTTTCCGGCAGTCAGGAACCAAGTCATTTGTTTTCTCTGTGTTGCCGGGTAACTAACAAGACGCTGCACGGTTTGGGGAATGAAGAAGTAAATGCACGTGTGACTCTTCACCTGCTACCAGTGTTTTACAAGATTGAAAAGATCTCTGCGATGGGACGCAGAACCCGACTCTGTGCTTAAAGATGCGCGAGCTCCGAGTCCTGGAAAGACAGCGGGGCACCTGGAGGAGGGCACTGGGGGGGGGGGGGCGACTTTACAAAGGAGTAAAGAAAACAAAGGTATCTGACACTCTAGGCTGTGATATGCACTTGGGGCTGTACAGTGGCCGTGGGCCGCCTTCGGGCCCATCGAGTTCTTCCCAGTCTTTCCATCCACCCCGAGGCACCCATGGGTGTCAGACACTTCTTGCCTTGGGGATCTGATCAGCCCGCGGGAGCCCCAGCTCTGCCCTAGTCTCGCCTGTTGCCTTCTTCTCCCTAGAAAGCATTCCTACCCATGTCCTCTTGGTTTTGAAAGATTAACCCATACTTCCCTAGAAGCTGTAATTCCAGAAGCCGCTCCTCTAGGCCAACCTGAGCCCGGGCTGCGTGTCTGCAGCCAGGGCAGTGCTCCGGAGAGGGAGGTGGGAGGCGCCTTTTGTCCCTAGGGAGATGTCTGTGAAGCTCTCGGATGAAGCAGAAGGAAAGCCGCCCGACTCTAGAGCCCAGCTGAGAGGTCCTAGTGGCTTGAGATCTCGAGATCCTCTCGCGGCTGCTGCCCAGAGGGGAGCCTGGGGCGCAAGCGCAGGTAACTTTTGAGCCGACCTAGGGCCAGTGCCCCTCCTCAGCCCTCTCCAATTAAACTTGCTCGCTGGCGGGAGAAGGAGGCTACACCTCTGGAGAAGAAAAATCAGAGTGCTAAAGGAAAAGATTAGGGACGAAGGGATGATCGCACCCACGTCCTGGGGTTCAAAGTCTGTGCACAACCCGTACAGAGGACAGAAGTCTGGCTTGGAACTAAAATACCGTCGACCCCGCCCACAGGCACCCCCTATTTTTGTCTATTTCTACTCCAGCTCTTCTGGATCTCCTAGCACCTACGTAGCTTCTTAAAGACAGCAGCTACCAGGGGACTTGGGGACAAGGGAGCCGGTGGAAGTGGAAGGAAGGAGGTGCTGTGGGCTCCCCACAAATACGCCTCAGGAGGCAAAACAGAGTGGGGACTTATGACAATTACGCGTTGTCCGCGTTTCCCGGTGCCCCGCAGTCCTTTATAACTCGAGCAAATCTCTCTGGTGGTCTCCGCTGCTCGGCTCCCACCGAAAAAAACTGTTCGCCCAGACCTTGGGGCGGAGACGGGAGAGAGGATGACTGCTCCCGAACTGTGCCGGAAGTCTGCGGGGACGGGAACGCGGGGAGGGAGGGAACACGGGTCTCGGGTCTCAGGTCTCCGGCCTGATGGGAAGCGGTAATCTCTCCTCCCGGCACCTTCCAAGTCCCGGGACGCGGGGCTAGCGGCCCCGCCCTGCTGCAGGTTCGGACCCCTGGAGCTGGTTCCAGCAACATGAGGCTGCGACCTCGCAGCCGCACCCCTTAATCCCGAACGTCCGCAGCCGCGTCCCTGGGGAAGAGGACACCCGGGGGGCCCTCCGCGAGCCTCCACATCTCCTTCGTAGCCCGAGCTGGGCACAGAGATTTAAGGGACTAACCCGTGCCGCTGCCTTCGTCAGGCCTGCGACAGCGTGGACTTGGGGCACCCCCTCCCCTTTCCCCGAATCCCACCAAAGCACCAGCCCCGCTTACCTGTCCTGGCGGTGCACACGCAGAACCCTAAAACTAAAATCACATCCATCGACATCGCTCCCGAGGGGCCCCGCCAAGCAGGGCACACCGAGGCCAGCAGCATCGAAGGCGCTCGGGAGCCGCGGCGCGCCAGGCGGGAGCCGCCAAACTTGCGCGCAGGCGGCGGGAGGAGGCTGGGCCGCGCCGGGCGCTGCGCTCGCTCGCTGGGGATCGCGCCCTGCACTGAGCCCGGCCGCCCCGCCCCCAGCCCGGCCCCCACCGCCGGCTTTTCTGTCCTGTTCCCCGCTGCGGCTGCGCTCGGATAGGAGCGGGGCGGGAACGCGGGCTTGGCCACTCCGGCAGGTTGCGCTTGGCGCTGGGGCCGAGCCGTCCGCCTCCTGCGCCCACGGAGCTGCCGAGACGCGGGTGGCTGGAGAGACAGCTTCCACCACTGGGCGCAGCAGAGCCAGAGTCCCGGGACCGCGGTGGGAGGGAGGAGCCGGAGACGCTAGGCTTCACGCGCCAGATCCCAAGGAGCTGCGCTCGCCACTATCGCGGCTTGTGTCCTGGAGTTGCCACAATTCACCCCGCCAACCCCTCGCGGCTGGGGGTTCTCCTCGGGAAACCCCGGGCCCAGGCAATGCCACAGGATGCACCCGGTGCCTCCTCGGAAAACAGTCGGATTTGTGCCTGGTGGGGACCTGAGGGGTGCGAGGGTTGTCCCCGGTCGGCACTTGGACCTCTCGCCTCCCCTCTCCAAGTGCGCCCCCAGGGCTGGGCACCGATTTGGGGGTGCAACAAGAGGGCGCTGAGGCGGAAGGAGCAAAATGGGTTGCTGCGCTGGAGCGATGCACAGCTGCGGTTTGGGGAGCCTAAACCTCGTTCTGCAGGGCAAATGCTGCCACATAGGGGAAATTCTTAACCATTTTTTTCCTTGCATGACTTCCTTGGTGATTTGGTTTTAAAAACCTTCCCTGCTTTCGCTGTCACACACCGACCTTTCCTGTGGTTCCTTCAGGCTCCCCTCCCCCAATACTATTTCCGGAGATAAAAGCCGACCCTTGCCCAAGGGCAAGGAGAAGACCCTGCGCGCCTCTGCCCCACCTCCAGGTGTCCTGCTTCCCTCCAGGAATGTTATTTATACTTGGAATAAAGAGCTGTGAAAATCAGAAGCAACAGAACTTGTGATTTATGTGAAAGGAGCCCTACATGATTTAAAGCTCCGCGGGCTCCTTCCTTACTCACCTCACGCTCCCCAACACCGCTTCTGCGACTCTCACCCTGACCCCGGACCCCGGAGGAGAAAAAGACTTCCACAGCCCCCTTTTCGTGGGCGGGCGACCAATCCCAACAGTTTCAGAAGACTTCTCTGAACTTTTGCACCTCTTCTTCTTCCCATATCCTTAAACCCTAGACAACTTTGGCCCCAAGAGACCCAGTATTCATTTGTTAACAAAGTACCAGGACAGAAGAGAAGATCGCACCTATGTACAAGCTCTGGTCTCTGCCTTTTTTTCTTGATGTTGCTGCATGCAAGCCAAGTCTCATCTGACCCTGTACGTTGTGGTCCCTTAGCAGGTTAAAAAGATCATGAACCACCAGGTAAATCTTAACTCAGAAGTGCAGGGGACAGGGCACCATCATCCTCACTTGATCTGGAGGCTGAGCCAGAAGATTGAGGTCTGCCTGAGCAATTTATCAGAACCCTGTCAGAAAATAAAACTTTAACAAACATGTGAGGATGTAGCTCAGTGGTACAGCACTTGCCTAGTATGTGAGGCCTGGGAGGCAATCTCCAGAACACACACGGGCTCCCACTGACACACACTCGCACACAAGGTACTAAGTACTCCGGAAGCTGAGCTGAAAGATCAAGAGGTAAGCTGATGTCAAAGCTCAGAGATTCCACTTCAGTATGCCTTCTTCCGAGTGAAGACAGCCAGCAACCCCAAATATGCCACCTATTAAGCAAACGGGAATACCACACACTTGGCAGAAAGTAGGACTTCTCAAGATTCCCTGGCCCTGTGGACAAGGACCCCTGTACCCCCTGTTGCACAGTGATCGATGCCTCTGCCCTCTGCTGTCTAAATACACTTGGGCCTCAGGAGCTTTGAACTGTGCTCTCCAAGACCCGGTTTTCCAGCTCAGAATTCCTAAATCATGGTGATACCTGAAAAGAGGGAGGCCGGGCTGGGAAATGTTCTGAGAGCCTGTAGCTCAAGTCTCTGCACAATTAGCCAGTGGGGAGGGGGGAGGGGGCTTTTAGCTGTTTCCATTAAAAAATAAAGCGAGACACATGTTCTGTCATCACTTTGCAGCTCCACATCCATTAAGAGTAACAAGAGTTAATCTCATCAAGGTCATAAATCTTTCCTAGATAACTAAGTACTCCAGTCTCCTCCTATTAAGTGCATATCATGAGCGCAGATTTTCTGCATGGGCCTGTTAGGCTACAGACACCATTACAGGAAAGACCCAGGAAATTCTAGTGGCAACAAAGGGAAGCACATGGTTTCCACACTGGGCAGCAGGTGCTGCCAGTGGAGGCAGCAAGAAGAAGGGGGTCATCCAGCGCCACGGCCCAAGGCCATCCTCCCCGCAGGACAGCCAGCCTCCTGGCTTCTCTGGGTGCCAGGAGAGTCCTTAGATCATCCTTGGGCCTCTTGTTCCAGACCCCCAAGTGCCTAGGACCTTCTAACCACTCTCAGTCCCTTTAACAACATGTACTATGAATGACTCTCAAATGCATTTTCCAGCCCCTGGCTCTTCTTTGAACCCTACACTCAATGATTGGCTGCTGGGACTGAGGAGATGGCTCAGAAGAATAAGCACCTGCCTGGCAAGCACAAGGCCTGAGTTCAATCCCCAGTTCTGCAAAAAAAAAAAAAAAAAAAAAAAAAGATTGGCTGCTTAGATGTTGGGGGGAAGCATTGGAGGACACAGCAAGGGATGTGGGGCTTATTTTGGGGTGATGAAAATCTTCTAAAGTTAATTTGGAGTTAGACCTAAGACTTGCACAGATGGCGGTGGATGTAAAACTCTTACAGATATACAAAAACCATTAAATTGATGAATTGTACAGTGTGCAAATTACAGCTCAATAAAGCTATTTTTAAAGGCTTCCTTGGTCATCCTCAGAAAACACTGTACTGTGGCCAAGTAGGAACCTTAACTTTTCCTTCTCCCCAAACTTGCTAACTTCTAAGTGGATGGCACCAGCCTTTGCCAAGTGATGTAGCCAAGTAACCCATGGTCACCTTGCACCTGCTTTTTCTGTGCCCCCTACCAGAGCCATCAGGCCCTTCTAGACTACCTAAGAGAAAAATCCCCAGTCAGCTACTTCTTGTCCGGCCCCCAGCTCCTGGCTTTCTCCTATCCATCCTCATCTTCTTTTAGGACTTCAGCCGCAGATTACCAAGTGTTCTCTTCACCTGTATTCTTGCCCCTTACAATTCAGTCAACATACGCACACGCACACACACACACACACACACACACACACACACACACACACACATGGCCATAGGCTGCTATCCATTGCCCATGCTACCTGCAGTCATGATATTTGGGGACAATCCAAACTCTCACAAACTCCCTGCCTTCTTGCACCCACTGCCACCCTCCACACTGCCCCTCGCTCCAGGTGGACTTGCCTGCTGTCCCTCAGAAGGTCCCAGGTCACACCTTCACTGCAGTCTTTGTGCTTGCTGTCTTCTCTCCCAGACATGCTCTTCACATGTCTTTTTATGACTGGCTTCTCTCATGACTCAAAGCTCTGTTCAAATGTGGGTTTCTCAGAGAGAATCTATTTCAGGAAGCTTCTCCCTTCACTCTCCCCACACTGCTATATTTCCTTTTGGTTTGTATTATAAAGAAAAAAAGAAAACAGAATTTCAAAACAAAATAATAGAGTAGCAATAGTTAACTGAATACATATTGTTATCTCCAGAGTAGTTACTCAGAGTACAAGATATAGACATGAAAATTTGTCCAACAATGTTAGCATGCGTTCAAACACTTTCTGGACAAAGCTTGGTATAGTTCTGTGGGGGAAATAGGTAGAAAAACATACAGATTGGACAGATAGGTAAAAGCACTTCATAATGTTTTGGAAGAAAGTGTTCTAATCCATAACATCAATCATTTGGGATGAGCTTTGAGTTTCACCAGAAACTCAAACTTGGTTCATGACAAGAACGAAGGTCTGTACATGATTAGGTTTTATTAAGTGTTAAGTAAGCACGTATTGTCCATTCCAACAGAACCAATAAGAGCAGGTCCACTACCCTCCAAGAACCCTAGAAAGAGGCTCCAACCCCACCCTGAATGCAATAGTGTTGCCTACAGTTATTTAGTGTAACTAAGGGTGAGTTACTGCTTTCTGACTTTCCATGAACTAATCTGCCTGTACCTCAAGACACCCCGACTATTATGCCGACTCTACAGATACGGAAACTGAGCCGTCAAATTGAGGCAGTAGGAATGCAATCTGCGCACTAAATTATTAAGCTCCACTCTCCGCTGGGATGAAGCCTGTGAATTCAGCCTCCTGTTGAGATTTTATGAAAGACCAGTAAATAACTATTGTCTGAGCGCTGTACTCATTGAGAAATAAGAGAATCAGCAGAAAATGACAACTTCATTAGTATAGAGACAGTGCTGGAAGAGCATAGCTTTTTGTGAAGGCCAAAACAGAGAGGCCATATGCCCTTGCTCTGGGCTGGACTTTGCTACAGCCATCTGCCCCACTAGGTTGGGATGAGAACAGAAAAGGAAGGAGACCTCAGGGAGCCAGGAGAGTCACTGGCTGGCAACCTCCTCCATGAGGAATGGGAGAGTAGAGAGCGGGGGGTAAAGGTCAGAAGTGTTCAAGAGAAATCCCTCACCACAGAGACCAAGAGGGTAAAGGAAACACTCCATCAGCCTTGCAGCTTTTCTTCATAAAGATTCCCCTGATCCTCCCGTAGGCCAGGGCTGCCCACGTGGCACTCACCCAGGTCTTTCTCTCTAGGCCTTAAAATGATCCTTTGTTCCAATTAGAAGTCCCAAGAGCTCGGCGCTGTGATTCCCACT